AGTGTAACATGTGCCATCTTTGGGGCACCTAAAATTGCCCGCACGGCTGCATTTTGAACTAGCTGAAGCTTCCGGATACTTTTCAAGGGTAGCCCCATGTAGAGCGCATTGCAATAGTCTATATGGGAGATGACTAGAGCCTGAGTGACTGACTGGAGTGACTCCCAGTCCAGAAAAGGGCGTAACTGGTGCACAACCCTTAGTTGAGCAAAGGCCCTCCTGGTCACGACTACCACCTGCTCTTCAAGCAGGAGTCGTGAGTCTAGGAGAATCCCCAAGTTACACACCAGGACTATCTAGGGTAGTGCGACTCCATCCAGAACCAAAGATGGTAAACTTCCGGATACAGAAGAGCCCCCAACGCACAGCCATTCTGTCTTACCAGGGTTCAGTTGAAGCCTGTTGTTTCACATCCAAACCCCCACAGCCTCCAGGCACCACGAAAGGGTAGCCACAGCATCACTCAAATCACCCAGGATGGAGATGTATAACTGGGTATCATCTGCATATTGATAATACCTCATCCCATGGTGGTGGATGATCTCACCCAGTGGTTTCATGTAGATGTTAAAAAGGAGTGGGGAAAGTACCGAACCCTGCAGCATCCCACAAAGGAGGGGCTGTGGACTGGACCTCTCACTCCCTATCAACACCAATTGGGACTGGCCTTGGAGGAAGAAGGGGAACCAGCACAAAACTGTGCCACCCACCCCCAACTCCCCAAACCAACCCAAAAGGATACCATGGTCAATGGTATCGAAAGCTGCTTAGAGGTCAAGAAGAGCAAGGATGGATGCACTACCCCCATCCCGCTCCCGCCAGAGATCATCCAAGAGTGTGACCAATGCTGTTTTAGTCCCAAATCTGGGCCTGAAACCTGACTGGAAGGGGGCCAGATAATCCGTTTCATCCAGGATCCTCTGAAGCTGCAACGCCACCACCTTCTCAACCAACTTCCCTAAAAAGGGAAGGTGGGAGACTGGACGAAAATTGTCCCATACAGTGGGATCCAGTGATGGTTTCTTGAGAAGGGGGTGTACCAGAGCCTCTTTAAAGGCCATAGAAACATTCCCTCTCTCAAAAATGAATTTCCCATTGCCTGGACCCACCCAAGTCACCTCCTGAGCTGCCTTAACCAGCCAGGAGGGGCATGGATCTAATTGATAGGTGGTGGCATTTACAGCCTAGAGGACCCTGTCCACTTCCTCAGGTCCAACAGGATCAAACTGTTCCCAGATAACAGGGTAAGTACGTACCCAAGGCATCTCCACAGGCCATGCCACACGCTTGGCATCCAACTGGGAATGTATCCGAGTGATTTTATCCGCCAAATGCCCAGAAAACTCCTTTGTGCAGCCCTGTAAGTGGGTCACTGGGCCCACCTTTCCCAAAAGAGATCGAGTGATCTTAAACAGGGCCGCTGGGTAGCATTCTGCGGATGCAATAAGAGTGGAGAAATGTTGACGTTTCGCCGCTCTTACTGCCACCAGGTAGGCCTTAACAGCGGCTCTAGCCTGTGTTCGGTCGGATTTGGTCCTTGTTTTCCACCCGTGGTGCTCTAGACGTCTCTTAATCCTTTTCAGGGCCCTCAACTCCTCCGTAAACCACAGGGAGTATCGGGCTCGATGGGTCAAGAGAAGTTGCACAGGTGCGATCTTGTCCAAGGCCTCAGCCACCTTACTATTCCAGGTGGCGGCCAGGGCCTCCACTGGACCCTGCAGCAGATCCTCAGGTATACTCCCCAGCTCCCTCTGGAATCCCATTGGGTCCATCGGTATTGCTATGGTCCTTTGAAAATAGGCCAGAAGCAGTTAAGGGGAAAAGTTGTTATAACAATGATGCTAGAAAGTGGAGAATTACATCCCTTTGATTTACAGCTGCTATCTCGATTGAAATATATAATTGACTGCTTCATGCTCTATCTCCTGCTTGCTAGTATGGATTTTACTTCAAGGTAATAATAGACTGTGTTTGGACAATATGCTGGACTCAGTTAGCTGCTACCCCAGGAGATATATCCCTATGTGTGAGAGTTGGTGATTCACAGTCCCAGTCAAGTCAGCTACTGCAAAGGTGGCATCCTGCTGGTTTTTTTAAATCTGAGGAAAAAGTAAAAACCAAACCTGTAAAGGCTGCTATGAACATTCCAGGCCAGTCATTTCTGCCCTCTTTTACACCTCCCCCTCTATAGTGCGATGAGGAAGGATTAAAATATAAAATGGAGATGGCATTCCTAGAGTAGGCCTGTTTATGACTGGGGGAAGTTTAGCAGGAAACTACAGGCTAGTAGTTAGTAGCTAACACTTTCCAACCCCAATGCTGGCTGAGTTATGGTGCTAATGACATACTATGGTATCCCCCATTCAACCAGTTACATATCTTTTATGAATGCAATCATAAAGTTGTAATTTGTCTCCTGGGTCTCAATACCGGCTTACTGATTTTATTTGCTTACTGACAGTATTTATAACCTGCCCCAATCTCAAAGAACTCTGGGCAGTGTACAACATCAAACAAGAAAAATATAATAAATATCTAAATTGAAAACAATAACAAAACCAACAATTAACAAAAAAAGAAAAGCAAAGATAAAACCCAAGGTCACAGTCAGTGGTGGGAAAATGCAGGATGACTTCAGTTAGAAAGATGGCAGTCCCCACCCCTTCACTTAAGTTCTTTGAACAAGGCAAGGTAATTATGTTATAAACATTTCAATTTCACAATAAAAGGCTCATTTGGAAACACCATGTTTACTGGATTTCTCTATGCTGAAGAGCCATCCCTCAGATCCTGTTCAAAATAATTCATTAAATATTTCTGTGTTTTCTAAAGGTATCGCTCAGAGATGTACAGCAATCAAGTATCACTTTGCTACACCAATACGACGCTTATGGAACATCCCTATCAATTTAACTAAGATCATCCAGCAGGATGAATGGCACTTGTTACGTAAGTCCTTGGTGCATTTAGGTTTAGCATATGGTCTTCCTAATATGATGTGATCCATTGATATGGGGCAGGTTACAAATATGAAAATAAATATTAATCATATGATGTCACTTTTTAAATATTTTTTTTAAGTAACCAAGATGTAGGAAATGGGGTAGAGATGGTCACAGAAATGGCCAGCGATAATTTTTTAAGGTAAGGCTTTTTAAAAACCACCTTTAAGACAAGAAAAGCTAATCAGAAGATGTGTCCATCATTTTTTTCTTATTAAAATGGGCGAGAAATAGCAGCTCCATGACCTGGTAGTTCTTTATCATAAGAAAGTCGCATTAGGTTTAATACAGCTTATTTCTAGGAACATGCATGCATGAGAATAGGTTTAATGTAATTTTAACATGTGCTGATAATGTTAATTTATCTCCTTCACTTATGAGAATAGATCTAAGAAGAATTACAGCAGGTTTTCTTGGGATGGCAGCAGCTGTTCTTCTCTGTGGGTGCATTGTAATTGCAGTTGGCTTCTTTTGGGAGAAAAGCCTCACACAGCATGTTGCTGGTCTTCTTTTCCTCATGTCAGGTACACTTTCTTTTTGGCCTGTCAGTTTTTAAATGTATAGTTATGCTATTTTTATTGCTAGAAATGGGAAGAGTAATTTGGGGGACTTTTTACTTCAGGTGCCAAAATAATTTGACCAGCCACTTGAAAGCTAAAGTGCAGGAGGAACACTTACAGATGGTCCATGAAAGACTATGAAATGGCATTAAGATGGCATATTTATTCATTTATTTTGCTGTTGTCTCTTTGAAATTTGTGGGGCAAATGCCTTCTTTTCACAATTCTGCAAGGGTTGGGAGAAGGACAATCTGAGTTATTTACTTTTGATATTTGATATTCAGCCATCTACAAAGGCTGATTTGAGATTACCAGGTCACATAAGCCTGTGAAATGGTTCAGAGTTTACCTGAATTTTAGGGGACCAGTAGTACCAGAAGACAACTTTCAGGAATCAAAAATTCCTATATTCTACACTTAGCAAAACCTAAGTCAAAGGCAGCTGTTACTAGGCTAGAAATGTTGATAAATATGGGTGTAGTGAAGCACAAGTGCTGCTTTAACTATCTATTATCAAGAAAGTCTGAACTTGAACTGTGCCTCAACTATTTAGAAATGGGACACGCAGTAGCTGTAGAAATAAATTATATTATATTGGGAAATGCAGAATTTGAGTACCCACAGATCCTTGGTCCTCCCACCCTCCCAGAACACACAGCAAATCCTCAGGCAAGTAATTTCTACAGATCTTTCTGTAGAATCAAAATAGTCTGTATGTACATAACATCAAAACTGTTACGTAATATGAAAGGGTAGACAATCCCTATTTTCACAAGATTCTGGCACAGAGTTAAGATGAATAGTTGTAAATCAGTCCATTTACTATCGTGCTGAGTTATAAAAATGTAAATCAGTCTGTAGTCTTTCATCAATGTTGCAAGGGCCAGATAATCACAGTATACACAATTGTAGCAAGCAATCCAACATCAAATATAAGAAGATGGTCCAGAAAGCAAGAGATGGTCCAGAGACAAAAGAGCAGGTGAGAGATACTTAATAGCAAGACAAACTATCAGTAAGTTGTTCCAGCATCAGCCTTCTGAGCAGCCTTAAATCCATGTCCTCTATGCTCCTGGTGTCTTTAATATACTAGGTTTTTATTGTTAATGTTTATTATTTATACATCTTTTTATGCATTTTTACTTTGCCCAGAATCTGTTAGGATTGGAGCAGGCTATAAATATTGTAAATATAAATAAGTGAAATAGGCAATTGAGCCTCTGCAGCCTGGATATTGCTGGATCCAATCCTGCAGAATTTCTGCTCCTTTCATTAACCTTTCCTAGCAGGTATTGATCCTTTGGCATGCTGGTCTATGAACTTTCACCAGTTGCCTCTTGCATTCTCAGGGACTGGAAACTACTGCCTCTAGTTCCAGGTGTAGATTCTCGGCAGCAGAGTCAGCAGTTATAGAGCCTGCATCTGGCCTCTGAGTGCTTGACTCATTGGCATCTGAGGTATCAGTTTTGAAAAACATGATGCCTCTGATTTGGCTCTCAAATCTCTGAACTAAGGAGGAATTAAATTAGGAGAGGAAACACTAGAAATATCCAAATAAGTAATTTTTAATTAGAAAATTTTTAATTTAAAAAAAACCCTAAGGAATTCCAACCCTGATACCTATCTAGCCAAGGTGATGGCAACAAAAAGACCTTTTAAATTAATATATGAGAATACTGATAGAAAATTGGGCACTTAAGAAGCACCAGTTCCCTTTGCAGACTAGGGAAGATAGTGGGATTGAATCCCAGATTTTGGGACTGAAACTTCTCTTCTGGAGTCATTGAGAAGTTGAACTCTGTTTGTTCTGAATGTCCTTTGTGAAACTCAGAAATAAACATTTTGATCATGACTATTTTAAAATAGTAAATTATTAGAATAGGACATATGTATAGATTATATAATGTAATTTAAATGTGAATTGTTGTGTCTCCTGTTATAATTCTGATGACAGGCAAGTTGTATGACATTGCATCAATGCCATTCCTATAAGTGCAAATTCTTACCACTCAATTAAAAGCTTATGTATATCCAAATGATTTATTTTGGGAAATTCTTACTTGTATACATCTTGTAACTCTGTGATGTATTTCCTTTGTAGGCATCTTTTGCACTATTTCTCTCTGTACTTATGCATCAAGTATATCCTATGACCTAAACCGCCTTCCCAAATTCATCTATGGTCTGCCGGATGATGTTGAACATGGATACAGCTGGTCTATATTCTGTGCATGGTGCAGTTTAGGACTTATTGTTGCAGCAGGATGTCTTTGTACCACTTATCCATTTATTAGCAAGACAAAGATTAGCTATCTAAAATCTACCAGAGACTCTTCTGTATGACTATTTATAGGGGGATACTTTTTTTGTTTTTAAGGTAACATGAAGAGTAATCTGGAAGGATGTATAAGGGAGCTTAATTTAGAATTCAAGCACAGATAAAACCCCAATCCTTTAAATACCAAACGTGTCTCACCAGCCAGGAAACACAAAGGACATCTATGCTTCCATGGTGGCTGATATATCAAGTTCAGACAGCAAAATTGTTGCGGAACTGATCGTAATTTAGCACAATATATATGCACATGTCACAAAGAAATGGAACTATTTCTACTTGAACAAGAAAACTGTGTTGATGTTTTAATTCCTGTTGGCTGTCCAGAGTCATGAGATTGAGATGGGTGGCCATATAAATTGGAATAAATAAAATAAATAAAATGGCTTTTTTTTAGAAGTTGGTATGCAAAGTTTAAAAAAACAAAAACACTACTGCCATACTATCTAGTTGATAAGAATATTTCCTTATTTGTCTTAATTATACTTTATATCCTTTTTGTTTTTTTGTCTTGTTAGGTGAAACTTAGTCTTCTCTTTTAATTATCTTTAGTAGTTACCAAAATGGTGGCATGAGAGAGACTTTAAAGAATTCCTGTGTTAGAAATGAATGAATCATTTGTTTTTAGAAGAAATAAAAACAGAAGTCGGAGTGGAATGACTTCCAGAAGGGGGTGGGCCACTTTAGATAGCAAGATTTCTGCTTGTAATGTATTTCCCTGAAACATCTTCATATTTCATATACAAGCCAATGCCATCTATAAAAAAGATTAAATGTATAAAATGGATTATGGCATTTGTATTATTGGAAACAATGTCTGTTGTACATCTCAGTTTTCTTTGTCTAAAAATAGTTAAATGGCATAATATCTTCCTCCGTTAATAAAATTCCTGAACAAGTGACTTGGATATAGCTCTTCTTATAAACAATACAGCTGCAAATTATAAATGTTATGTCCTTGTTCGGTTACACCTGTTTCAACCTTTCTGAATGCATTCCTGGACTTTTTAAGGGCAAAACTGTCTATATGAAATAGACCACGCAGAGAAGCCCTACATCAGCTCTTGCCTACCTTTGCAGCAATTCCATGGGGCCAATGCAAAACAAAACAAAACAAAACAAAACAAATTTATTCTCAGTAATTTCTAGCACCGTAAGGCTAAAGAGGCAAACTCAGCCTATGGGCACGCCAGCTGTTTATCTTTGTACTTGTCAATGGTACTGGCCGTCCTCAAAAAGACAGGCTTATTTACTACCAGCAAAAAACTTTGCTTCATAACTGACATAACAAAATTAATATGCTTGCTGTAAATATACCTAAGGCTGCCAGAAACAATTGGGGTAAGCCCTTTGGATTAATATATTGTACAGGTGAAAAGAAGGTATGCTAAATCAATCTCCTACATTAATTACCACTCTTAAAACAGATACCCACTAAATTAGGAAATGCAAGTATGTTTAGATTTAAAAAGGTCCCTGATTTTAAAACATTTGAAGCCACCTTACATAGTCCAACTGGTAATTGTACTCTACGTAAGTATATTAAAATGCAGTATTGGAAGCATAACACACACCTATCCCTTGCTAAAACAGGCAAGAAGTTCCTGAGGTTATTTCTAATCCACCAATTCAGAGCAGTGTACTGTCATCAATAAACATGTATTCTTTAAACGGATTCATTTCTCAAAATACTTTGTGACTGAAAAATTGAAATGGCTGCCCATGTTTGGAAGGCAACTCAATGCAAATATGATTCTGAGATAGCATTTATATAAAATGTTGTTTTTTAGTCCAAGGAAAATGTATTTTTTACTAGTGATATTTTTAAAAAGTATCTGCTTTAAATAAAAAATTAAACATTTTAAATGTTTATTCATTTATTTATTCACTAAAACTAAAAAAACAGTTTGGATTTTCTTGCTGCAAAGCTCAGATTTCTGAAGCAGGATTCATTATGATTTTCAGGCAAGAATCTGCTTTTAGTGCATTCTACTAATAATTCATATAAAAATGAGTTCTGTTGGTTGGGAGTCCTCATCGCTCCCCGATTGATAACACAAGCTACTTAAAGACTGAAAAGCAATTGCCAATACTCTGAATAATGCTCAACAATGGACTGGCATCCAGGAAGGTTATTTCAGAAGTTGCAGAATATCTTCTCGAAGGTCAGTTTTATCCTGCACAATGATTCCCATGAAGGCAGAATATAGTACAATGCCATTGACTGTTTGATTGCATTTCTGTCCCACTGCAATCAAAATGACTCTTGGTGTATGACACACAAACATGATCCTTGCCTAACAGTGCAAAATGGTGACATGTGAGTGCCAGGAAGTGATGCAAGATTGCTATCAATCATTTTAGTGCATTATGCTAGTTTATCTTGCGGATTGTCTTGAGAAATCCTGTCCCTTAAAATTATCTCACCATTAATCTCTATTTCCATTTGGACTGGACCACCATGTGCCTCTTTCACCTCACGAATCTAAATTTAGCCCAATGTTTTCAGTTATAGATCCTAATATAATGCTTTAGGATCTTGTGCTGTGGCAGCTATGCAATTCTGATTGTCAAGTTCATCAATGCCCAGTTGCCCTGAGTCCATCTGATTTGAAACACAAGATATTAAGTGTTTTATACATACTTGCCTGATGTTACCTTTTTCCAGATCCTTCAAGTTACCTTCTTGTACTTGCATATGAATGCATTTGTCTTGCCAAGGCTAACTTCAAAGGATTCTATGAACACCAGAGAGCCAAGATCTGCCTTTTCACAACTGAGGTGTTCTTTCCTTGCATCTTGAGTTGAAAGGGAAACAGTCCCCAAACCAGTACTTTCTTTTTTGGTATCTGGCTCAACTGATATCAAATCACTTTGTCTGCAATCAGTAGAAGATTCTGCAAAGATGTGCTGCTCAGTCTGAGGACCATGGGCAATACCATTAGAAATACATTTATAAAGTTCTTGATTAAGTAACAGTACAATAGTCCCTCCAAAACAAAGCACCCTGAAAAACAAGAGAGAATAGTTAACTAAGATACTCTTGCTTAGTTTCAATAACATTTATCATAAGAAACTTTCAATGTATCTAATAGTTGGTAATCTGTCTCTACTTTTATCTTTACTTTTCTATATGGCAAGGTACACCATGAGAAAGTCTCTTAGTGAACTCCTTGGGTTTTAAAAGTTAGGCTTCATAAAAATTAGGCTTCATAAAAATCCCAGCTTTTTTCCCATGTAGGCTAGCATTTCATTATGCTTAATTATTGTATGCATTATTATCCAGCTGAAATAAATGTCAGTGACCAAGGCTGCCAACTGCAACCCAATACGAGAACCCCCTAATTTTTGATGGATCTGGGCATTGCAAAACAGTTGAAGGGATATTTGCATTACAGGTAGTCCTCACTTACCACCACTTATTCAGCAACAATTTAAAGTTACCACAGTGCTGAAAAAATAAGTTTATGGCCAATTTACCACCTTTTAAGACCTCTGCAGTGTCCCTCAGTCATGTGATTGCCATTACAGTCAGTATGCATTGTCCTGTGCCTGACCTGTGTTTTTTCTTCTTCCCCCCCCCCTTGCAGAGACTGGAGAGGAAGGGATTGCAAGAGAGTAAGCTGTTTGCTCTTCTACACATCAAAAGCAATGCAATTGCACTGTTGGGCTGGGAGCTGCGGGTGCGCTAGCAAACAGCTTACAGTACTCTCTTGAAATCTCTTCCTCTCCAATCTCTCTGTTCTGGGAGGAGGGGGGAGAAAAAAAGCAAGCAATTTCTGTAGGCTATGTCTCCTTTGCCTGACCCTCCCTCCCCCACAAAGAGGAGAGACTGGAGAGGAAGAAATTTCAAGAGAGTACTGTAAGCTGTTTGCATAGCGTGCCTGTGGCTCCCAGCCCCAGGAGAGGGCACAATCACATTACTCTCAATGTGTACAAGGCAGCAAGCAGGCACTTGAGCTTTCTAAAGGGCGGGGGAGTGGTTAGGAGGCAAGCAAAAACTGAGGTGTGAAATTGAGTAGTCTTGTCTCTTTCCAGCCACAAAGCACAGTCTTGGTCATGTGATTTCTCACTTAGCGACCACTTCGCAAAGTGGCAGAGTTGCCGGTCCCAATAAGGGTCATTAAGTGAGGGCTACTTGTAGATGGAGAGAAATAAATCCAACATGTTCCTCGATAGGATTAATGATTATTAAGTACTTACGTTATGGATTGTTTTAACCCTGGTTATAGATAGGAAGTTTGCGCTGCCTACAGTTGGTTACAACTGAAGTAGCTTATAAGCCTGAGTCATACATTTTTAAAATTAAACATTCTAAGTGCAGTGTATATGAAAGAATACTCTGTTCATCTGAATTAGGCTCTGAAGAGATAAGGAGGCAAAACATGGACTTTTATTGCTTCCAAATGTCTGCAATGCTCAAAACTGAAGCAAGAGCCTGACAGTATCTTTTTACAAAGTGCACTAACAGAAGAATGGCCACAAGAACGGGGTACCAAAACTAGCCAACCATGTGCAGACTTATCAATCATGCCATGTTGATTCCACATACTTAAGAGACCAACATAGTGATGAGTTACTGCAATATGCCATAAAATACAGGTAATCCTCATTTAACAACCACAATTGGGACCAGCAACTCGACCGTTAAGCAAAGCAGTCACTAAGTAAAAAATCATGTAACCATGACTGTGCTTGTGATTTTACTTCAGCTTTCCTTTGCTTTGCAGTGTCAGAAGGATATGACCTTAAACAGCCCGGTGAGCCCAAATGGTGGGGAAAGTTTCTGGAAGTCAACTGATAAGGAAGCCAGGTAAAAGGGCAAATTTTATGGCCCTTTCCCCCTACTCCCCCACCCTTTGGAATGCTCACTTTGGTGCTGGCATAATTAGCAAGAAGAGAATTAATGTTTGTATTTACATTAATTGGAGAGGAAGGAATTACAAGAGAATGAGCAGGCACACAACTGGGAATACACATCGAAAGGAATGCGCTAGCACTGGCTGTTTGCCTAGCATGCTTTAGCAGGCAAACAAAAGCCTTCAATGTGAAATTGATTAGGGTCTTGTCAGTATCAGACAGCAACTAATTAGGGTCACAGAGCTGAACTTGTTAACTTGTGGTTAGCACTTTTTGGGGATGCCCTGTGCTGCAGAGAAAAGCAGCTCAGGAAGAGATACCTTATTTAGGCAATCTCTCCGCTCTCCAGGGGCGGGGGGACAAAAAACATTGATCAGGCACAAGACAACGCGTACTGACTATATGACAGAGGCGCTGTGAAGGTTGTAAATACAGGCACTGGTCACAAAGTTACTTTTTCATCACTGTTGTAATTGTGAACAGTTGCTGTCTGAGGCAGTGATTAAATGAGGACTGCCTATATTAAGATTCTGCAGCCCATTCAAGAATTTTAAGGAATGTTCCCATACTACATCAATCTTTTTTACTTCCTATTATCACCCTGTTTTTTTTTATAGTTCTCTCTTTTGTCAGATTATAGAATATTTAAATATTTAATTAGGAAAGCCTAATTTCTACACATGAAAATGAAACATCAGTACACATTCAGCTATAATCTTTCCTATGGATGGCTTTTATGACCCTTTTTTGTTTTATTATTGCCAAAATGTTTTCCATGTTTTAAATTAAAGAGATATAGTGCCTCTTCAACATAGTATAATACTGTAATAGCAGTTTAAAAAAATGAAGATTCCTTTGTAAAATGACAACGCCTGGAAAATGCTATATTATTAATTTATTATTTGTTAAATTTGTATGCTGCCCATTTCCCCTGGCGGGTGACTCTGGGCGGCTCACAATTAAAGTAAAACCCACAAACAGTTAAAAAATAAATACCCACATTAATTAAAATTAAAAAATGTTTTTATAGCCTGACTTTTCAAGTAATTAATTAAAATTAATTA